ATTTATTTACTACACTTTTCGGACCGCCTACGAAACTTTGCAATTAAATTTTGAGATACGAAAATTAACTTCCATGCTCAAATATTTATTAAAGTTTTGTTCTTTACGAATTCCCCGTACTTTTTACTTCGCGATTTGAATTGGATTTCTGGAACGACGGGACGCCAGGTGCGAGGTTTCCTTCTTGCGGGAGGTGGCAAAAACGACGCCTTTAATGGACCAACAAAGTTTCGTCCGGGATTGCCCCCTCTGCAGTTAATATTTTACTGGGACCTTAACGTACTTCAATACGATTGGTATTCGATAATGCAAATATAGTGCTTACGAAGTGAATTGGAACAGGGATAAAGATATATTCCCAAATAAATTGTTACTCATATTATAATAAGGATTCACACCTGGCTAACAATATCCCTACAACTTTAGAAGATAGCAATAAAGGTGTATTAAATCGTGTCCTGCTCCGTTGGTATCATTAATAATGATTCAAGTTCTCTTATTAAGCGTACTTTCCAATATTTTAACGCATTTTACCTCCAGCAATAGTACGAGTCAGAAGTCGAGGCAGCTCGCTATTAAAGATTATTGATTTGATACTTGATCCGCCCTGTAATAAAAATTATTGAGGAATTAAATATTTTAAGCAAACGAATTTTTTTGATTGTGGTTTTCTTTCTAGCACATCTATTTCCAATTATAGACGAAAAAAGTGATACAAAAGTTGGTAGGTCCAAAATTATTTTTTTCGGAATTCAATTCCACTATTGACAGCAGCGGTAAAAGTTTGGACACAAGTGGCTTTAAAGAACCTTATTGGAGTCTCCCTAAAATATTTCCTAGCGCACCTCCAGAATGGCTGAGTAGAAACAGAATCGGCCTGAATTTATAAAAAATGCTTGCCGGCACTCGAACTGTTTGCTACGATTTTATTTTTGTTAATCCTGTTATCTGATATTTAATCAAGATTCGTTTTGCTGGGACCTTTTTATTGAATTTGAAAATTATCATTATATCTTGCTCGTGCTTCATTAGAACGGTATTCCATACAATCGCCTAGGTTATGTGTTTATGGTGTTCCAGTTGACTTCGTATAGACGTACAGTGCCACAACTTTCTATGTCACTAATCAACTATACTACGGTAAAAATGAAGGCGAATATATACAGCAAAAATATCCTAGCGTTTTTGCCAATCTCCCAATTTCTTATTTCCGTAACAACTGAAATCAAACAAAATCGACAAAAGAAAACTAGGTGATTAGATGATAGTGCGCGATTCTACGTACTCCACAACGTCATGGAAGTTATCTACACTGAGGGGCGAGTAATACTACTAATTCTTAGTGACGTGACACTAGAGGTCGTGTGTGGTTATTTTTACAGTTGCCAAATAGAACTCTAGAATCGTCAGTGTTTAACAGTTTCTTAGTAGTAGAAAAACTTTTTATCCGTAGTAATATTAACATTGTTCTATATAATTTCGTAGATGCCGATTAAAAAATTTGTTAGTGGTAAATGTATTAGTTTATAGTTAGTCACTAATACATTTACTAAATTGATTTACTAATATTGTAACAATTTAGAATAGATAATAGTTTGTAGCTGACTTAGTTGCGTAGCTGTTTCACATATGACAGTATAATTTTATCGATGGAATTTTTCCCGCTGGATTTAGACAATTTCTTAGAAGCTGTTTAACAAATTGACAGTCCGTGTGGATTAGATTTTAGTCGATGTTTTCTTAGAATGATATTCGAACCAAAGACTTTTCAATAGCTTTGGCCCGTATTATCATGATAGATTACTAAATCTTAGAAAGATAGCCTCGTTTAGAACTTTAGCCAAGTGTTATACGGCTAATTATAGTACACGATATTTACATATTGACATACAATTGACGTTTTTTGGCAATTGGGATCGATGGACGGTAAATGTTTGCCTGATCTTTGGTATAATTTTGAACTAAGTTGAATTTTATTAAGAAAAGTTCATGTACCCTCACCTAACTATATCTGTAGGTGTTTTTGATCAGCTATATTATTATTTTCCTAATTTGGTAGAGATAGTATCTATAAATAACATGAATATAGAGCTGATTTTTGGAATAAACGTTCATTAAAATCTATGCCCTCTTGAGTTTTGTGGTTTCTTAAATGTTTAACACCAATCCAAAGTTTAAGAGGTTTAGAACATATATGTATTTTGAAAACTCTTCGAAAATGTTTGAATTGAAACTCAAAGAAAACAGTGACATTTTTTTATTTACTTCTCGTTTATTCCATAATTAACTAAACTAATCAAAACTATAAGCTTGTATCAAAGACGTTTTCTTTTATTTGATTACAACATTATAAAATTTGAAACGGACGAACACACAATAGCACAATGGCACCATTAAATTTTAACTCTTGATGAAAAACTCTTATTGAGTTTTGTTACGAAATTTTGAAGTAGAATTAGTAAAAATAAAATTAATTTGAAATAAACAATCTTCAAAAAAAATATTCCAATTATAACATTTTAAATTCAAAATACTTAAATCTCTTTCAAAAAAATATTTTCTTATTTTTAAAAAACATCCTACTCATAAAATGTTTCGGCTTAAAGTACAAAGGTTTGCGTAGGCAATAACCATCAAACTAATCAAGTTTTACTTTGCAAACGTTTCATTTTTAAATAGGGTACAGTTCTCACATTAAATCAGGCTAAAATGACCGAAAAAACGCTCCCTAAAGTCCACGCCCATTTTTATTAAATTCGGCATTGATAAATGAGTCCGTAAATATCACGGAAATTGTCAAAAAAGTTCCCGAACGCATTTTTGTCGTCAATATTCATTCATCACCTGACCGGATTCGCTCCCTGAACCCTTCGATCCAATGGCGTCGATTGTGGTGGGACGAAAAATGTTTGCCGCATTCATTTGTATTTCAGAATCTACGGAAAAGAAACGCCCCTCTTGTACTAAAATAGATGAAAATTTACGACCCAGTTTTTGTTTTTAATGATGGCGCAACTAAATATGTTAATAATAATTTCGCTTGCCAACCGACGCCCATGGTTTTGTGGTTCGACTTTTATTGCCGAAGTTTAATTTGAACGTCAGAATTGGGGATTTTTGCTTTTATACGTCCATCGATTGCAGGCCTTAAGGTTTGGCATGGGAGTAGATCAAGATGCAATAAAACTTGCCCCGGAAGACATGTTTTCATAAAAGGGTGGATTTGGGCGCAAGCATATTTAGTTAAAACTCTATGAGTATGGAAGACATATGATAATATGGATTCTCTGTCTTACACTCTGACCTACACAGTAACTAACTTATCGGTAGACATTTAGGCCTCTATAGTATAAATTTAGAAACCAAAGGATCAGATGTTAGTGTATGTACACGGTGTTCAATTTTTGATGTTTTCAAACGCACAGGAAGAAGATTCCTATAAAGATAGAGAGTTACCGTTTGCGCAATTCTGGGCCCTGTTAGTAATGTACTTAGTTTAGTTTTTGATGCGTAAACCAAAATTGAGCTTTTAGTAATTATTTTTTGTGATTTATTCCTTGCCCTGGCCTTTTCGAAAAAATACCGTTATCTATATTTATTTTTGAAAAATGATTTATATTGAGTTAGACGGTCTCGAATACCTATTTAATTTTTGAGTTTCCATGATTACTTTAATTCTTCGCCATATAATTAAATTAGAGGATTATTCTAAAATATCTCACGGTAGTTGTTCATTTTTCTCCTTCCTAAATTATGAAAATTGTTGACATAGAAGGAAAAAATATAACGTACTTTCGGGAGCTTTCCTAACTTCTATGGCCGTATGTCAACCTATTCTATATTCTATATTCCATAACTTGTGAAAATTGTACCTCATCGGACTATATAATTTATAAAGTAAATTTCATATTTAAAATGGAATAAAAACCATTTCAAATTATTTTATTGGATATGATCACGAAAATTACTCATTCTTAAATTTGCTTAAAAATTTCGATTGTGATGCCTCAGTTCAAAGTAAATGTAGACAACTATTTGGAAAATTCGAAACATTAAGGAAGAAACATGACTAAAATCGCTTTCGCTATTTTATGTGTTAACGTATAACAGGGGGCTCTGAACAGTAATTTTTCACTATCTGAAGTCCTTGTACCATTCAAAAGCTTCCGTTTCCTCAAAAAGTAAGCCAGAAATACGCAATCACTAACCTCCTAACTGAAAAACCTAAATACGAAAAATTGAAAACCCCGCATTACACGTCTGCTAGTGTATATATAATAGATACGTACTAATGTAATTCCCCAAAAACTATAGTCGCGTTTTTAAGTACCCAGTGTAACATCCGAAACTTTTTTGGAATAATTTGTAGACGTCGTTTAAATAAAGTAGTTTAGATTTTTTTTAATTGACAATAACAAGAAACATTTGTTAAATAATGAGAAAAATAGTTCAATTCTTGCTAAATACCTAAAACAACGTTCTTAATTGATGCAGGAACGGTTGCAATCGAACATATGCAAATTTAATTCTAATAAAATATATTTATATTATTTATTGGAAATCGGATCGGTATGCTTTGCTTGCGCCATTTTAACGGCTACCGCGAATACTCTGTAACTATGACCTATTACGTTGTGTAGAGACAGGGATGCATATTATGTTTTAACCAAATTGCATGTGCTAACAAATTACCCTAACATCAATGCTGTAAACATGTCAAAACCGACGCCGTCACTGCACGTATCACAATTCTCACTATTACATGCACTCGTAAGGACATAATCTAAGGCGTATTTCGACCGTGATCTGGAATTTATTTCTTAAATTTTGTGAAATAAGTTTCAGCTCAAGTGGTTCTAAATACTTTGCGGATGCAGGTGCTCTAAACGCCATTGGATAATTAGGGCTACACATTACATACTTGCAACTGAATACGCGTATACTGTTCAGTAAATAGCATTTGACTTATCTAATCTTGTATTCTCTCTCTGTGTTTTCAGTTGATTTAACCAATGGACAACTGACACCGAACAATAACACTCCACTGCTGACCCAGGCACTTTCAGGTAATTAACACAAAATTATTTGCACATTTGCAGGACAGACATCGGTTTGTATGCTAATTAACCAGTAGAACTAAGTTCAGCTAAAAGATTTGATGTTTCGCAAATAATATATGGTCTCACTTTCCTTTACAGCTTGTAACGGTTTCTGCCCTTAATTATTTTTTATATAAATTTTACCAATGTTCTACTAAATATGTGCATATAAATTTTCTTTTTACAATTCCGCTTAAAATGTATTGAAAATAGTGCGCAATTTTTAACTTCCAATTCAATTGAACGTCTATTTTCAATATTAGTGTGGCATACCAAAGAAAATATCCAAACTTCCTAACAATGCCCATTCTTTCAGAGACTAAGAATAATTAATAATCATTAAACATTTTTACATCATACTGAAAGTGAAGTATATTTTCTCTGCACACGTGCGGAATATTATCAAAAACAATTATTCGCTAAGACGAAGTTGGGGATTATCTTGGCGAACTTAGTTTAAATTGAAAAACTAATATACAGAGTGACAGAACAATTCCCATTGACGTTTTCCCATGGAATTATAAAGCTCACTGTATATTTGGGAAACATAAAAAAATGTTAATAATAATTACATTCTTGCGTGCTTTATGAAAAATTACGGTCATACAATAGGTACAAATTGTATACTTCATACTTAACACGAATACGAAAACTTAACTTTAATTCAATGCAAAGCGGATGTAAACTATCAAATAAATTCATTATATGTAGTATATATGTTTGCTTCATGGTTTGTTTGCTGATTAGTAGTTTTTTAATAATCATATCATTCATGTTAGAAGAAATAGATTTTTTTTATCGGATAGAGGTATATGTTTCGCACCAACAAAACTTTTAATGCATTGAAGTTTCTTATGTGAACTTTTGCAGCCAAAATGCAAATTAAGTTACTAAATACAAACACTTGTCATTGAATATCTGTGTCTATCGTATTGTGCCCCATTCGATTACGATTCCTTTCATTTTTTGGAATGGTCTTGAGCTTTTAAAAGATTTATGCGACCCTTTTTTAAATCGTTTTGATATTAGTGTGCGCCCATGAGACATTGCGAAATACAAAAGGATTTGAATAATTAGAATCTTGAATGTCCCCTGAGCCTGCTCATCCTTAATATCCATTTCCAAATAACTAATAACTACCAAATTGAGATTTTTATATTTAAATTATAACGTTAACATTTTGTAAGTTACCCAGCTTTGAATTTACTTTGATAGCTTTAAATAATGTTAAATCTGGATTGGTACATTTGAAAGGAAAGCAAATATCACTGTTTTATACAGGTTGTTTCAAAAAACATGCACCAAAGCTCAGCTGGAATTTCGTCAACCAAAAGAAAAAAATTTCACATAAACGTAGGTCCGGAAATACTTAGTTTCCAGAATACGAGGTGAATGTTGTGCGAAAATTCTTACGCCTTCGTAGGCAATGTCTCCGAAATGTAGTTATTGCCACCATAAATCACTTTGATCATTTTCTTTAGTATTAATTTTTGTGAACTAAGTTTATTGTGATCAAAAAATAAATGTTGATCAAAATACGTTATGTCAATTGTCATGATTTTTATTTAACGAGGCAAAACAACAACTTATGAGGTATTGTTATCTAGTTCAACAAGATAATAGCCGTTTATTAGTATAAATCCCATTCACATGAACTATTCTTTTTTGCTGATGATAATAAATAAAAGGATATGTTTTGACATATTACTTTAACACTTGACCAATACTTAAAAAAAATTACCAATAAATGAGTAATAATAATAATTATTATTATTATGATAATAATAATAAATTGTTTATTAGCCTCAATATTTTACCTTAAGATAACGCTAGATTCTACTGAGTACAGGACGCTTTACTTTAATTTAATAATATTCGATGATTCTTCAGATGATGTCGATGACGCTGATGAGGCTTGCGCTGGTTGTAGCGACGAGTATTCCAAAACCACAAAATCTGACGACTGGGTTCAATGCTTACGTTGCTCCAAGTGGTTTCATGATTCCTGTTCCAAGTTTGTTAACTTTTGCGATGAATCTGGTTTTCTGATGTGCAAAACAAAGTGAAATTTTGGCCAAAAAACTTTTTTTTTATTGCGCCAACTCACCTCAGCGAGATGGTTTTTGTAAACTATTTTTATTTTTTTCAAGAATTGAAACATTTATTTTTATATTGATTTTATATATTTTATACGCATTTCTAAGTCGATAAAGATTAGTTTTAAAAAGAAACTGCAGTTATAATTTGATTCACAAATATATTAACATGAAATTTCAAAATCTGGGCCATCTATCCTCGAATTACTATAAATTAAATTTAAATTTTGGATAATTAAAAAAAAATGAGATTATCATCATACATTTGTGATAGAATTCATAACATTTAATTAAGTTTGAGTTACAGAACTCGTCTGCTACTTTAAGTGCTATTTATTTTGCAAATAACCCAGATAAAATAAAATATATTATCCTGGCCAACAAAAATAAACTGATCAAAAGAAGGGAACAGGAACCAAGATAATGGATTGCGTTTAATTTAAGTTGCTTTTACATAAAGCTTTTAAACTTAGTCAATAACTGTGGGACAATTTTCCGCTAACCAATTAAACAATTCATAGCCGAACTCTTTATATGTTATAATATTTTTCATTTCAGCAGAAATTATATTATATAATTTATCTTTTTTTGCAATTGGTTGTGTTAAGTTTTCTTTCGTTTTTTCTCTAGTAAACTTATCATAAGGGATGGGGTTGTTGAATAATTTGTTTTTTCTCATATGAATCATAATTACTTTATAGTATTGTTAGTAGTGCAATACTTAAAAAGCTGATCTGAGTGAGAGTATCGATTAAATTGAAATATAACTTTTTTCTTTTTTGAATTACGTCTAATGCTTTAAGATTACTTTATACGCACCGCCCCAGTCGATAATGCCGTATAGTAAAAGTGACTGGACCAACCGAAAATATAAGGAAAGATTTTCTTTTATTGAAAGAATTGGTCTCGTTTGGCAAAACTGCATCAACGGTGCAGTAAAGTTAAACACACTGAACTTTTTGTGCACACCGAATATCTAACCGATAGTCGTGGACTTAGCCTCGATTGAGCATGTAAATTGCTATTCTGCAAACTTTGTTAGTAATAACCAAATTTTTAAAATAAATAAGAACTAAAAGTTCAGATTGTTTTGACAACACACATGTGTGTTATCGAAACAATTGTCATGTAAAAATATATAATTTCGTAAAAATCTGAACTTTTAGTTCTTATTTATTTTGATAAATGGATTTTCATCAAGTAAAAGCCACCTTAGTTCAACATAATTTTGCTTTACAATTTAAATTTATGGATTATCAGAAAGTGCACGAGTGACAAAATTATCGTCCTGGAAATTATCAGAAAACGCGTCCTTTACAATGAGAGAGAACGTACAGTTCCTAGTGAAACGGGATATTCCGGACGCAAATCGACACTTATTGATCGTCGCCCCTTAACCCGTCATAATTCATCCCTCTCCACGGAATTTCGTTCGGTCCGTAAAAAAGGGAAAACGATACGGCCCGATAGTTTTTCATCCTCTTTTGTTCGTCAGACGTCCGGGCAGTCTCGGAGCACTTTGTTAGGTGTCACTTTCAGTGAAACAAACTTTGCTCGAACCATTAAACCCGTTTTCGGTCCTCTCTCGCGACCATCGTAAATCATGCGGCGAACAAAACGGATCTGGGTGGCCGAGACTGAGAAGGAAAACACATTCAAATCTAAAGCCCCCCACTCTGGCTATAACGAATTTGTGGTATTCAACAGGAGAAGTTAACTACTACTCTTTTACATACTTTTACAGCGTCAAAGCAAATAGTGTTATAAAACGTCACTAAAATATTCAATCTTAATTTCATGTCAAAAATTTCACGGTGTTGAAATATTAATATCAGGTGAAGTGGGTACTTAGGAAGGTCCGTACTTTAAGATAACCCAACTATGCATTGAGGTGTACGCAAAGTGGCACTTTAATGTCTCAATACTGCCGCGAGCTACCGATATTTTAGTCACGAGTTTAGGAGCGATCGGATGTTTACATATAGACTTACAAAACACTGATTGTAATTTACTTTTGTTAACCCCTCACTCCTTAAAGTGGCGTTTATTGAGAATAAAACTAGGTAATATAATAAAATGGTAGCCAACGAACTGATAAAATAAATAAAAAATAAACAAAATAAGAACAGTTTTTGGAACAAAACAAACTATACACAAGTGGTGTCAAGTCATATTGTATCATGCGTTCCTTCTCCGTAATCAATCCAATTTCAAAATAGAGAATATTGTGTTGCCGTATAGATTTTCCAAAAGATATAAAAAGTCAGTCTAGAAAATAATTAAGAAGAATGAGCAACCCCACATTAGTGGAATGGGAATATATTTTTCAAAGAACAATTAGTTTTAAAAACTATGTAACAATTAAAATTAATTTTCTTTAAAATGTATACATTTTTTATAAAGTCCTAATACCCAATTTTGTTTTAAAAATGGTTATGTTTCTAGTTTGGGATAAATGGCATTCCAATCAATCTTAAAACATTGCTTAATCTGACGCCGGAGATTGTTTCTTATGTTTGGAGAAACAGTAATAGTTCATTCAACATAATGTAGGATTGAGAAATCATTTATCTGATGAACATAAAAAACAGATTGGTACGTATGGTAAAGTAATTTTCAAGTAAAGAAGTTGAGAGAAGGTAATCTAAATCTAAATCTAAAAATTATCTTTATTTCATGCGAAGGATAGCACTAGTAGAAAGAAAACTATCTTCTATTCCCTCCTTTTTGCACTGGCGGAGTTTGAAATAAATCCCGTTATTTCAATATTTCTGGAAATAACGTTCTTTCTGAGTGGTGTGAAACTTGCAAACAAAATCCCGCACATAATACAGATTGCCTTTTTTTTTTAGGATTTTATATCTACCATATATAATTTTTTGGTTATTATTAGAGCTCCTAGTCGACAAGTCTCAACTCGTACAGAATTCTCATAGTCCGCAAATGAATTGCCATAAGCATTGAATTGTGTGTTAGTCGACATGATGAGATTTAAGAATGAGAAGGTTAGTTTTGACATTCTGTGTTCATTCTGAAATTCCAATCTTAAGTAATCTCAAACACTTAATGAAGATGTCCAAAATAGCAACTGCCAAGTTTTGATTAGATTTTAAAAGCTCCTCGTCTTTATCATAAGTACAAATGATTTTTAATCACTACAGTCACATATGTGAAAAATAGTTCCCTCACGGACTGTTGTTAAAAAAGTCTCAGCTTCTTGCGACCACGATATCTACCCTATTAAAAAAAATGCTTCTTTATTTTGCGTTTTACAATCAATAACATTCAAATGTCTACATTTGAAACGCCGATAGAAGCGCTTGTAATGATAATCATTCAAATGGTGTGAAATGGTCTTTCTTTGCAGTGATGAATAACTACCAAGCCGCGGCCGCCGCCCAGGGTTTCGGCCCGCCTGCTTCACCACACGCGGCTGCCGCTGCGGCCGCCCAAAACGCGTCCAGGGCCGCCGGATTCCCCGCCGCATCCAGTCCCGGACCGGCCATCGATATGTACAGCAGCAGCGGTGCCGGTCCTGGAGACAGCGTTGGCTACGTACAGGCAGCTAGTCCGCAGCCGTCCAGCTTTCCGGCCATCGCTGTCAGTCGGGCGCCACTTAACTATAGTCCGGTAAGTAGATTGATAAACTTTGCAGTTCGGTAAGATTTAGTTAGGTTTGCTGTTCCATAACCGTTCGTTTTGTCGTATTATCAATGTCCTGTCTTTTCACCATTGCCGGGATTGTTTTGTCATCTAACTGTTGATCGTTGGTTTTGCAATAGGTCTGGACACTTCACAAAATGTTTCCAATCATATGCCTTAGTGGAATATTTTGTCGGCGCCTTATTTTCTGAAGTTTCGGGCTCTGGTGCCAATAACAGCATGACTTGTTATCTCGTTCATCAACTTAACCTTCAGCTGGCGTAGTGGTCTTCTTGATCAAGTTTTGTTCTTTGTTATGAACTTAACTGCAGCGGTGTTGTCTATCCAAAAAAAAAACAACCATTCAAAGAACCAAAAAACACTAACCATTGGCAGAACAGCTACGCTATATCTATTTTTGTATCATTCCGGTGTCACACTGGTACAGTATGACTACACCATCTATCATTAAAAATTACCTTCTACCCGGGCTATTGTTAAAGATGTGAAATTCAGCTACCGCATCTTCAGATACGAATCGATTATAAGTGGTAAAAATGCTAGATACAACCCGCAACAAAAACTGTTCTTGTTGGCACTTCCTCCCTCTAAAGAACTCGCTTGCTCAAGCGGTTTAAAAATAACTCGTGTGAAAAATCAGTTTTTAAACAACAGACAACCAGCTGCATTCTTTCGGCTAACCAAAACTAATCTTGCAGCGTACCGAACTGCATTTCAAAATTCGATTTCAAAAAAATGAAGTTTGTCATTTCAAATCTTGCATTCAATCGGTAAGACCTTATTACGTTGACATATAAATTCGACAGTTTTTATTCTGAAGGTGGCATTTTTTCGGCAGTATTTTGTCAAGATAGACACAGATCGCGTTACATGTTGTGAACAAAAACGAGTTAAAACTTCGCTAGTTTGCGAAAAGTGGTGATAACAGGCGAAAAGTGAAGGTTACTGTGTGAAAGTTACAGGCATACATGGAAACCATTTTCTTCTTTACGACAATATCATCGCCGTCTGATGCGCATCAATTTTACAATATTACGACCCTTACCCTATTTTATCTTAATAGCTATATGACTAATGTGAGAGCTACTCTACATTGAATTATATCGAAGGCCGTAAAAAATTATTAAATAGAAACAAGTTTTTTACTTAGCTACGCCTTCTCGTGCGGACTTGCGACAAACAGAACCATATTATGTCCGAATCTTTTTGAGCACAGAGTATGGCTCAAAAGTATTTCAATAATCCATATGCGAAAAATTAATTGTCATTTACTATTTGACTATTTTTATTTGGCGTTTTGGTTTCATTCCATTTTGTATTATATCAATTTTTTAATTAACTTTAATTTGTTTAACATGAAAAATTGTTTACGGACACATGAAAATTTGCCATTTACATATTCCAACTGTAGCTAGACATCGCATATCTTATAATAAGTCCGTTACAATTATACTAATAAAACATAATTCTATGATATGTTTTGCAATATAAACAAATTCTTCGGAATCAAGAATCTTAAAATCAGTTAACACCAAATTTTCGCAACCAATCGCTTTTACAATCTCTTAAATATACATTTTGCCTAAAATGTTTTTACCCAAGCGATTATTTTTCAGTAATACCTTATTCATTTTTGCCCGGAACGTTTCTCGGTAACCATTAAAACGCCCTAAATTCCCTATAAATTTAATATCAGGCCAGAGCGTTATAAATACACATTAAAATCCATCTGCATAATCATTAACGTCGAATAATTAGGTAATAATTTTCGATTTTAAGCGCTGTTGTTTATTCAATAAGCAGTTTTGAATCTATTTTTAGGGTGACTTCATATTTTTGGTTAATTTAGATAACGTACAATATAATTCCGAACTCCTCTATTGCTTTAATTGAGTAATCGATAACACAGAAGGCGCACGTTTCTCGAAATTTTATAAAGATGTTGCGGGTTCGCGATTAATTTTTGTTTCATTTCAAGCTAGTGATATTATTAATTATTACTATTATTTTGTTTTATATTTTACGTTTTATTTTTTATTAATAAATCGATAAATGTTCTGAATAAACTCTGTTCTTTGCTCCCCAAACGTTAGAGTTACTACAAAGTTAAAATATGTTCAAAAAATGTTCCGTATTCATTAAAAATTTTGAAATCTTTACATTACATTAATTTCAACAATAATCCATCCATTTACATTTACCAGTCATCCAAAATTTGAGGTGGAGTTTTACCCGTCATCGTCATGGCGTAAATTATTTTGGTTCCAAATTCTATAATCATTGCTTTTCTTTTTTACAATAGAATAAATATTAAAATCTGAATCTTTCTATTTTAAAATTTACTTTTCCTGTTTCTTAAATAATTATCGAACTGTAAAATTTAGTGGTCTTGGTCGTATCCTATTCACGCTGTTCCAAAAATAGTTGACATGTATTCGAATATGACTTTAGTTGGACAGTCAACTATATATCACTTGTGCTCGAGGATAAACGCGGCCCCATCAGGGTATCAAAGAGAAGTACAGAAAAATAATACACTCGTATTACTTAAAAAAGAAATACCTACCTTGGAGGACCACTCAAGGAAATTTGAAAAAATACCTACGTCTTATTGTAAAAAATGACATCATTGGTTGGATTACTTCAAATAAAAACCAATTCAAAAATATATACTCAGAATGTAAGATTGTAAGTTTGAATAAACGAAAAAACCTCTTTGCAAATAAATGTACTGGGTGTTTTCTAATTGAATGTCACCTAAAAATTATTTTTACAATCTCCAATCATTTGTAAAGAAATTTAATTTCTTGATTTTTTTCAGTCCGATGTACGGTTTTCGCTTAAAAATATAAAAACCTTTTCTCCGCATGGTCATAACAATATCGTTAATATGACAGCATGCAGAAGAATTGGTTTTAGTTTTTAAGTGAAAACCGTGCGACGGACTAAGAAAAGAGATCAATTCAAATCAAATGTCAGTATTTTTCTTAAGGAAATCAGTGGCGTGCTGTCTATGAACAAATAATATTTTTTTAGTTTTTAGTTGCCAATTAGTGTCCTCCAGAAAAAAAAATAGGAAACTGTTCTTTTTACTTTTTAAAATTTTAAGCAAAAAATAATAATATAAAATAAATAATAATATAAATAAAAATGACCATGCAGAGAAGTGGTTTTTATTTTTTTAAGTCAAAACCGTACATCAGATTGAAAAAAGTTAAAAAACTAATTTTCTTTTGAAATGATTGAAGATTGTAAGAATAACTTTTTTTTAAGATGCCATCAATGTCTGCCAAAATAGAAATGATGTAAAAAAATGTAGTACACATAGATCATTTCATTTTTGAAAATGTTGCCAATCCTGAATCCCAAAAGTTAAGATGGACCCAAAAATCGCTCTCTTAGTTATTGACATTCAGTTATAAAACACCTTGTATAACGGTACTTTGCCTTCCGCAATATCACTATGACTTGGTATGTGCGCAAGTAAAAGGGTTTATAGCTAGACATAACACCACTTTTAAAATGAGGGACGTTGAAACCCTCTTGTAAGACAGTGGACTATGAAAAATTAAGTACGTGGAACGTATGATTTAAATAGAAGATAGAATATGGGAAGCTGATAACATCCATGTATAGCCCCTTATTATTTCTCTGAACTATAGTTCATTTTACTATTCGCATCATGATCGAAATTTACCAATGAAGTTGTATTGTAAATAGTACATTTTGTTTATTACAATTTATCTATTTTCGTAATATTCTTATTTCTTTCTTTTAGTTTTTATTTACTTGATCATAGAATAATTAATATTTCAATTATTTGTCCATCTATGTAATTATAATCATGTATAATTATTATTATATTTATTATTCCAATAAACCACTCGCTATAGCATTACTTTCATTCACTAAACTCTCCTTTCTATTTTGTGCAAATTAAATTAGTGTGACCCTAAATTAAGGAATAAAAAACACTGAAACGGAATTTATCGTAGAATATCATTCTAATTTATCTGAACTTTATAATCCTTAAGTTGTGCACCCTGTCATTGCAAATCTTTATTTTATTACTCTCTCACATTAGGAGTTGCTACCGAGCAAAAAAAAAATCGATAAAAAAGCTAAAATTATCTTTTTTTTTTAATTTTTTAAAAAATATTTGAACTTTTACTTCTCTGCTAAATTTGAAGTTGATATCTGCAAATTTAGAACATTAACTTCTTATTTAGCACGGAATATCGGGAACACAGTGTACAATCGGTGAAAACCCTAAATATAAAAGTTTTTGCTGTCTATGCGGGGTATATCTCAATATAAAAGAAAGTGATATCTGAATCATAGTTTTTCAGTTATAACCAATTTTCAATAATAGGGGGACCTATTTTTGTTTTTTTTTTAAATTTGCGGCGCACTCTGTATATTTTTGAAAAAGTATCAAGAATAAAAGTTTATGGAGCCGTATCTTCTGCATCTTTTGGTCTCGTGAACGGTTTTTGAAAATTGATGTTTTTTGTACACCCTGGCACACACGATTTTTATTTTTTTTAGAATACTTCCCGACCACCCAGCCTCCCCCCCCCCCCATTTTCAATAAGTTCCGTCACGGGGCAAAGCTGCATATATGTGCCAACTATGAAGTCGATTGCTTCAAATTTCGGACACTTATCGTTTTTCATAGCAATGTCCCAAAAACAGTCGAAAATCGCGAAAAAAAGATGGATACGGGCGTCGGATCGACATTTCTTATAAGCTTATTGTGCCTCGTGGAGGGTTAAAAATGAGGCAAATTTTAATTGTGTAGCTCCAACGGTTTGAAAGTTATTCAGGAAAAACCAAAAGACGAGAACGGAGCAGGATTTTTGAAAGTAACAAGCACTAATATTTTTTCCTAAGGATAAGTGAAAACAAGCAGTTGAAAGAACAGATCATATTGAAGTTGCTATTAAAATCTGTAAAAATTTTAAATATAGACCGAATAGGCCAGATCTAGTGCCGAAAATAGCAAATTTGTTAAACAGTTGTAAAAACTAATGTAAAGTCATCTTAACGCGCACCAGATATTTAATTAGAAATCGCCTTAGGAAACAAGTCAGAAAATTGAAAAGTGAACTCTGTAGATTATTACTGGTTATACGAACATTCTTTTTCATTTGTTGTTTTACACATTAAATAAAAAATACGTTTTCGATTTTGGTATTTCTTCCTTTTTTCCTTACCATTGTCTTAATATTTTACGATGTCTTGGCTTCATTTGACAAGACTAATGGCCCAATAAGTTCTTGTTGTCCAGTATCATTTGTTCCAGGAAAAGGAACTATCTTGCAAAAATTATTATAGAATCTTCTTCTATTTCAGGGCCCGCTTATTCCGGCCGCCTTTACAAATGGCTATCACTGAGCTGCCGCCTACCGACCGTACAGAGTCGTCGCGGCCCATATTCCGCTCCCTATCGGCAGCTACAGCTGTGATTGCGTCATCACAACCAAACCTGCACTTGTACATTCACCTCTATATGTATATTGATAATAATATATTAATTACTATTTAGCACCCGCTGAGCGGTTACCACTCGTTGTTGTATATGTTTGGTGTTTGCCAATCGCTTTCCGCCAGCCGACGATTGCCGAATTGCCGACAGGAAGTCCGCCTTGAAAACACTCGGTAAGTTAGGTTATCTTGTGTGGCCGTACAGGCATTTTAAAATTCGCGATGCGGTCTACTAAAACGCATAAGTAAGATACTGGCGGTCGGAAATAGGAAGGGTCGATTTATAAACTTGATTTAGCCGTTCCATGCGGTCACCGTTGGCAGTTAAGATTAGTTTATATATTTTCATTCTAACCTTACTTTTGATGCTTGTTTCTAGAAGAAACAGTAGCTATCTATAAGTGCAAGAAATAATAGTTATCCTATTATATTCTACGAACTTTTTTTATTTTAAAACGTGTTTTTTTCCAAAATGTCTTTTTATTTTTGGATTTATGTTGAATTATTGAGCTACCTTTAAGTCAAACCATGTTAGTTACCCAACAGTGTTTTATTAAATAAACGTGAAATATTTCTTGTAAATAAATGGCAACATAATTTCTCCTACTAATATAAATTGTTACCTTATAAATAATATAATATATATATATATATATATATATATATATATATATATATATATATATATATATATATATATATATATATATATATATATATATATATATATATATATATATATATATATATATATATATATATATATATATATATATATATATATATATATATATATATATATATAATATAATATAATATATATATATATATATATATATATATATATATATATATATATATATATATATATATATATATATATATATATATATATATATATATATATATATTATATATATATTATATATATATTATATATATATATATATATATATATATATATATATATATATATATATATATATATATATATAATATATATAACATAAATATAAGTGACATCTAAATATTTTATAATTGGCTAAATCCACCTTATGTTATATCATCAAAACATAAATCGGGCTAAACGTAAGATCCTCGTCTTTATCGATTCGGCAACTGTCGTAATGGCGGCTTACCCCCTCCACCAAACACAGCACTATATTGGTTAACACTTTGCGTTTCTAATTACATATGATATATTACAGGGTATCTCTATAGGATACATTATCCTTACATATTATTAATTAAGGACCAATCGGGCAAATACCTCGGTCGTTCGACCGATGAGACATTGCCGTGGTATAACTTTTCGGTTTTGTTTTTTAGTAGATCGCTAATTTGAGGAAGTTTTGCACCTGAAAACATCGTAAAAGGTAGCGCCGGGTAGTTTAAATGGAATCGGGTTGAAACGAAATTTGATATTATTCGCTCTTGGTCTAATTTACTTTTTGAGGATATTGATGGACTCAATTTTTTTTTAACTTGGTGCCATAATTTTTTCTTGAAAAACTAAGAAATTGCATTAGATATTCAATTGTAACTAATAAAGCGCAAAGAATTTACTATTCAACCAATTTTTATTTTTCAAGTTGTTTATTAATTGTTTTACTAATTACTTTGGGAATATTCTTAACACATTGCCAGAGAGCGATGACGAATTTGACAATATTTTTTTATTCATTAAACATAATTTCTATTGTACGTGATACAAAATGTACCCAGTACCTAGATTTTGTGGAATATTTATTACAAATTATGTTATGATTTTTCAAGTTTTAAGTTTCAAGATAGGGCAAAACTTACATTTGCCAAGTTGGATGTTTTTCAGTGCAAAGCCGCTTTAAATTGCGTATAGTTCATTTTTAACCGGCTAGTGTTGTTTTATATAAAGAATTTTATTTCATTGATATAGTATGTTATGGTTATTATTTAATATATTCTAAAAATCATATTATTGTAAGTAACTTTTCATTGTGTTAATCTTCGCTCCGGCGCGGTACGTATACAAAAAGAAAATATTAATTTGATAATATTTTTAAGATATTTGTATATATTTATTGTTACTGGAACGAACCACGCAGATTAATTTTATCGTTTTTAATCGCAGACGGGCTCGGGGGAGAGTTTTAACCATAAATATAAAGCTATTTTTTTAACAGAAACTTAGTTATCAGTACATATATATATTTTTCTTTGTTGTATTTGTCTATACTTTGAATAGATTAATGTTAATTAATATTTCCCCACCGGCCGCGCGCGCAAACGTATGTAAATTTTTAAATATTTAGTTGCACAAAAATAATCACGAAAAGTTGATCACGCTTCGTTTTACGGAATGGCTTGGTGCTTGCGATTTTTTTAAACGTATATAACCAACGTGTAATCTGTGTGGTCCGGCGATACTATTCAATATAGCTTCTAGATTTTAATCCTATCCGTATTTTCCCTCATAGTAAACCTAGATCTGTCTAATTGTTAGGCTAGGCGAGATCAATTTTAAAAATTATAATATATTAATGTTTCTTGTTATATTGTGAATATTCTATATAAAAAAATGTCGGATAACGGACGCGTTGAGAGTTATTCATACAATACATGTGCGCGTTTCTGTGGTTATTATATATTATATAAAATTTATAATTATTATTTTAGGTACGGCGTCCGTTATTCCGAATCTAATTTTTCCACGTGGTTATAAGGTGTTATTCATTTTATTTTGTTTTTATTTATACATTTCGCCGGTAACGGGCTTGTTGACGAATGTGCGGCGAAGCTAATAAAAAATTGAATTTTAATAAATTACCGCTTTTCTAAACAAAATTGTGCAACCAGAAGCAATTGTTAAAACTCCTCTCCTTTTTTGTATGCCCTGCCAGGATAAACGCACAAAATTGTTATTATTAACTAATTTTTTGCTTTTATTTCCTTTATTATCTGCTAAATCATTCAGCTCTTAAATGGAAAAAGCAAAGAAAAATCATTTAATTTCAAAAATTTGTTTTCGAATTACAAAGAAACACATTTATCGGAATAGGCCACTTTTGTTCTCAAGTAATTTAATATTATCAATTTTTTATGGCTCGTCCTGTATAGAAAAAATGTCCGACTGAGTCCAGATTGCTCGTGTAACGTTTCCTCAGTACAAAAACAACCACGATAAGTTAATCACAGTAATATATATATATAAATATATAGTCCGAAAGCGGGATACAGGGGGAACCAATTTTTCGAGTTCATTTCGGTTAATTCAGCGACGCTAGCAGTGAATTTTTATACGTTTTTCTACATTTAGTTGACCTAAACGCGTTGAAAGTTGTAGTCGGGTGCGGCACGCTTGAAGTGGAAAAAAATATTGGGGCGCCCTGTATAATGTTACCGTCGCCAGGTTTACGTTGCCGGATTACCACCGGGTTCACAGTAGAAGAAATGGTCAGTACTAGGAGAATCGTAGGTATTTACATAGGCTACGAAATCAAAATGCGAATGTGAAATTCAATTGATGTACCTGAGTGACTATTATTTAAATTTAAAAGGGTCAGTTTAATATAGTTTCTTCCGCATTATTTAGATTTAAGTTTAAGTGTAATCAAACATTTCTTCCATTACAAAAATCGAAAATTTAGTTTTTAGTCACATCAATCGTATGATAGGATTCCGAGTTACTGAAGCAGCCTCAAATGTATTACAGCAAGATATTAACACAGTGGATCATAATAAATTTTGAACTTTTCCGAACGCCCGAGGGATCAACAACACCTGTTCAAGTTGCGGTAGTAATGATATTCAATAAGTAAGTTTCAATTAGTTTTAATAAAAACGTTAGCAAGTTCTTTTGACCAAAGTTTGTTTAATATATATTATTTCAAACAAACTTTCGACAAAGACAAATCTTTTAACCTCTGAATACGGCCTAAGAAATAGAATGCGCTAAGCATTACTTAAATACCAAAATTTAACATCATAACATATTGGGAACTCATCACCTTAAAAAAGAGTGTTAAATAGAGATTTTGCCATTTTGCCAATAAATTTTCTTCTTCATTTATCAGCATCTAGTTTGGGATCTGAATATTCCGCCACAACTTTCTTATAACCCTACTCGTCGACATATTGGAAAAAAAGCGCTGAAATCGAAAAACATGTGTGGACTAACAGCCCGGTTATCTTTTCCGTTGTCGGTTTTTAACCTGGTGCGTTTTAAACCCAGCGTCGTATTGAATTTCGCCATACCATCCATTGAACAATAGAGATAATCTGCGCGTTGAGCTCTTGACGCGCATGTTTTTTGGCGTCGGGTGTTTTACTCTTATCTAAAAAAGAATAATTCAATTTTGTTAACTAAATAGGCACTCGATTGTGTAAACCAAACAAAGAACAGATATCAAATATTACTATTTTATGTTTTTTGAAATTTGAAGTTGTTTTTGGGGACCTTTTTCTTTTTTATAACTATAAGATCATTGATAAACACTATCTAAGGAATATTGAATCGATGGTTCTTAAATTTCGTCAGTTACACCAGCCAATTAGGTTTAGGTTTAGTTATACGGCGTTCAAGTTTTGGCGACGTCTGTTCAAATTATCGAGTGTAATATGGGGTAATCGACATTTTAAGCAGACTATTTCAGTTTGCAACATGGTTATGTCGCGATTCCTGTGATCAGCTGGTATAGATAAATCATATAACTGCTTCAACCAAAATCATTATAAGCGACAAATGTGTTATAAATAAATAAGCATTTAAATGTTCTAACTGTTTTTGTTAAGTGCAAAATAATTTTCCTACGTTAGGGCAACTCTTACCAAAGATGAAGAAGCCACTTCTACTCCAACGAACTATTTGCGGGCAGTTTTGTTTATAGCTTAGCGATCTATTTTAATCTGTAGATAGGGTAAAAAAATTGTCGATGCCAAATAATAACAAACAAAAAGTCTTAACGCGTTAGATAACCAATTTCCAAAGAATCGGAGGCGTAAACGTGGCGCGGCAACAAAACGACTGGCACATAGATAAAAAATATTGTAGCGGGTAGGAATCAAACGTTTCCGTGAAACGTTTTCGATTTTAGGTATAAGTGACCTCAAACGCAAGGAGTTGAGGCCTCTCGGATGGATAACTTATAAAAATGACGTCAGAACAATACGGTATTATTTCGTCTAGGTGAATTAGGTAGGTAGTATTTGGTCGACGCACGAACAAGGTATTATTTTTTGGGTGAAAATGTCAATTACGAAAGTGATTCGAACGGTCAAAGCTGATTTGTAGGATCTCATTTTGGCATCATTTTTCATAATGTGGATTCGAAAACAATTATTCGGGATCCTAAATCGTTGTGTTGTATTCGATCAGCAAAATGTACTGACGATGACGGGTCAGTGCAAAAAATTAACCGATGAGTAATGACCAAAGGTATATAAAAATGTCAATATTTAATGTCAATGCGTATTACTTTTTGCGTTTCCACGGTATTTTATAATATTGTGTCAGTGCAGAGCAATACGTAGTTAGTAAACAAAAAGTAAAAACAAAAATGTACATGTTTCCGTTCATATATTTTGATATCTATAAATCTGTGTTATTTTTGCATTAAGTGGTAGAGATAAGTTAGCAAAAGACAAACTATTAGAGGATCGGTCCATGGGGTTTTC